CAGTGTCAACACAGGGTCAGGGCCTGGGGCAGAGCGACAATCTGCTACCTACGTGTCCCTGCAACAGGTACTAGTTCTGTGGGCAGGGTCATGAAGGGAGCAGATCACAACCGTGCCCTGGGCTGCAGTCCCACCCTGCCACCCCACTACAATTCCAATCCCAGCCCCAGCCCTGCCTGCCCATCCTGCTCCCAGATGCCATTCCTTGCCCGCCTGTAGCACCACCCAGCCAAGTACACCCTGCCTGCATGGATCCCGGGCTGGTCTCTACAGAGACCCCAGGATCACCAGGTGTTGTCAGCATGGGGCCAGGCCCCAGGGCAGACATTTAAGGAGTTTTGGTGAGCTGTTGAGGGCTGGAGGGAGGCAGGGTGCTGACCCAGCCTGCAACACCTCACCAAAACTTCTTAAGTGGCCCTCCAGCCACTTAAATGCCCACTTCTGGTTCAAAATAACCCCCAGGTCCTTTAGTGTTACTGAATTTTATTTGATTAATTTTGGATCACTTTTCAAATTTATCAAGGTCAATCTGAATGCTAATCCTACTGTCCAGAGTGTTTGCTCCTTCATCCTACATGGTAGAGTTATTCTATTTTAGCAGACTATCTACATGGAATTACATTCCAAGAAAATTCTTGAGCCAGTTGTTTTTTTAGGCAAAACTCCTACAAACTCAATAAAGAAACTGCTGAAGCATATGCCAGATAGGGGCTTCCTCTTGGCCATAATGGAAGGGGAACATATACTCTGCAATATCTCTACCTCTTCTGGACTTCCCTACACCAGCTGACAGCTGCGCATTCAGTTCTTTTAATAATGACAGAGATAAGAGGTCAGGGGAATCTGAAGGTAGACTGTGCCTTGTAACAGCAGAGCATGAGAAAAAGATAACTAGTTAAGGGGCCACCCTTAAGTGTCCCAAAAGTGTTCTTGGAGTTTAACTGCTGTACTTGCAGAGCACAATTAAAAAGGCAGTGTGAGTATATTTTTAAAACCAGAAACATTTAGCAAATTATGCAAAAATAATCATAATATAGTATAATGTAAAAATAATACTTTGTATATTGAATAATACGGCAGCCGCTGCTAGGGTTGCATGACCACAAAGAGGGACCTCATTAGTTGGTGTGAACCACCTTAATCCGAAGCAGGAACCTTTTAAACAGAGAGAGAGGGAAAGTTAATTTTATGAAAGGATTAGAAAAGCCTCTCTTCCTCTGTAAATTTCTAAACATTTTACTAAGCAATTATGCTTGAATCTGAGCAGATAAATCTTATACAATCAGACTGAACTGCACAAAGGTTTCTAGCCATCCCACTTAATCCTGTTTTTTTGTACAACTATTGTTTGTCAGGCCATGTCTGCACTGGGAGTACTTTTTTAGTACATGAGTACAGTATAAAATAATGACAAAGCTGTAGCTTCAGGAATGCATCCAAAGCACTTTGTACTATGTACAATTAGTAACCTTTGTACAGTTTTACTAATAGAACTGCATCTAAACTAAGTGTGACAAAGTTGGGCTCCCCGCCTAGCCACAGTGCTAGGTTCCCCACTTGCCTTTGGGCATACCTCCCACCTGACTCACCTGCCACGCCTTGTTCTTAATTCATTAAGATGTTAATTAATGCGAGAGGCTGCTCATTCTTGCCCCGGTGCCAGGGGGCACTATCTGCAGCTCCATACCTCCCCTACACAGCAGCCCATGCCTCTCAGATGGCATCCACTGATGTTAATCTCACCAGCCCTACACTGGGCCCCAGAATCCTCCAGTTCGGACCACTCTAAGATACCTCCATTCTGGTGACGTACCCCACCTTCATTCGGGCTGCGTAGCTCCCTGAAAGCATTTCCCCTCTCGGACGTGGTCCCCCCAGGACCTTTGGCCACACAGGCCCTGGCCTCACCTCCAAGGCCAGTCAGAACCCCAGGCCCTCAGCTCTGGGCAACCCTCACGGTGGGCCCCTGGCCTTTTTGACCTTTCTGGTCCTGGCCCCAGCATTGACCAGTGGAGGGTATTCTACATCAGGCCTCTGCCACTAGCCCCTTCACTCTCTTGGGTCCGCCTTCTGGCCCCTACTAGGGGTTACCCACCTGGTTGTGGGAGCTGGGGTAACTCACACCATGACTGGTGTGTTCCAGGGTCTCACGAGGACTCTCACTCCCCCCCTGAAGCAGCATGTCATTGTGCTCACTACAGATCTTGCTTCTGACCCACACTTAACCTCCCAGCAGTGGAGGACTTACCAGGGTCAGGACTCACCCCTCTCTCTCGGGCTGAGCCTCCTTTACTCAGCCTCTGGCCCAAATTACAGCCTCAGGCATCTAGAAACATACCTTGGCCTACTCCCCTTTACTCAGGGCTCCTCATTTCTGCTGCCCTCACTTGGGGCTCCTCATCTGTGCCACCCTCACTTGGGGCCACGGGGCTTCCCTCCCCAGTGGGCTCAGGTGGCCACAGCCGTGCCTGGCCCCAACTCTCTCTCATCAGGGTGCCTGGCCACAACTCCCTCCGGTGTTACACAAACCCACCTGAAGGTGAGTGCTAGGGTTAAGGCGTTCCCACCCGCCTTTCACCAGGATGATCACTGGCCTGGCATTTCCTGGGGGCTCCCACGCCACTGAAAGCCCCACCAGGCTACCCACTCCCAGCAGGGTGCAGTTTTAGGTCATACCCAGGACCAGGAGCTTCCTAGCCATCCCCTACAGCTCCTCCCTTTCCTCCAGAATAATACATGAAGCCTTGTAGCCACGTGATGTCGCTGCCTCCACCACCAGCAGGGAATTGATCTGTTTCAAGAGCAAATTGGATGCTTATCTTGCTGGGATCCTATGACCCCAGCTGACTTCCTGCCCTTTGGGCGGGGGGCTGGACTCGATGATCTTCCGAGGTCCCTTCCAGCCCTAATGTCTATGAAATCTATGAAATTTATATAGGCAGCCAGGGCTCTAAAATGGCTGCCGCAATCAAGCACCTGCTGGCTGCTTGGCTCTGGTCTTAAAGTGGCAGGCACCAACAATGCCCTGCCACACACCTTCACCCTTAAAATGGTACCTGGGGGAGGTTTCCCCTGCTACTTCTCCAAAGCAGGCTCCCCTCAGAGCCTGTGTGAGCCCTCAAGTGGTGAGCACCCCCCAAAGGTGCTCCACCACACACCTCCCCCCTTTCAATGACATTCGAGTGGCCTTCACTTGGCTGCCTTCCCTGCTGGCTTTGTCCCAGCCTACTGCAGCCCCTGCCACGTGGCGCGCACCCCAAAGGTGCTCCACCACACTCAGGTTTTCTCCCAGCACAGATCTGTCCATTAGGGTTTGCACCTCTTCATATCCCAGACTAACCCCTATGTCAGGGGTTGTCAACCAGGGGTACGTGTACCACTAGGGGTACTTGGAAAGGTCCTAGGGGGTAAACGCAGCCGGGTGGGGACGTTTCACCACCACCCAACATCCTGAGCTGCTCTCCCAGGCGCAGGGCCAGTGGTGGGAAGGGGGCAAGAGCAGTGGTGCCCTTCTGCAGGCCACACAGGCACCCTTCTGCAGGCCACATGGGGTGGGGCGGAGAGGGAGCTCCCACACTGCAGCCGCTGCTGCTATCCACCACCCCACGCCCATGCGAGGCCTGTCAGCAGCCTGCAGAGCTGCACATGTGACCAACTGTGGGAAAGTGGGGTGCAGTGGCAGCAGCACAGAGTGGTGGGTCACGGCGGCAACTGCATACAAGCCCCTCCCCACCCCCGCTGTCCAGCCGCCACCACCAGAAGGGGTACACTTATTTTAAAAGGTTGAAAACCCCTGCCCTATGTAGTAGAAACAGTCTTTGTCTCTCTAAAATCACTTCAAGCTTTTCCTTTATGAATGGGACAATACACATAGAGAACACTCTGGCTTTGTCTTTTGAGTTCCTATACCTTTGAAAAGCTCAAGAGCTACAGGATTTAACATGATGTTTTTATGTAAATTTATTTAAAACAAATAGGATCCAAGCAGATGTGACTAGAAGACTGCAGGAGGAACAAAGACTGCATGTGGACATGTCTTGAGAAGACACGTCACCGTGTCAATAAGAAAAATAAGTGCAATAAAGTCATCAAGGTCCATTATCTAACAAAAACAAATGAAACACAAAAATCAACCCTACTGGCTAAGATTTATGAATGACCCACGGAAGCAATTTGAAGCAGGGTAAGCCTGGAATCCAGCTGTGGCGATAATTTGCTCTTGCAAATGGAACTCTGTGCTTAAGAGCTGTAGAAGATGGTGTCTAGCTGTGACACAACTGGAGACAAACAGGGTAGTCACTACTCAGGATGCCTGTTTGGGGTTGGTGTCCCTATTAATAAAAAATACAACAGTTCTTAGTGTCCCCATAAACAATTATACCACGTCTCTGGAACAGAAGCACTATCCTCTCCAAAACTGTACTGTATGCCAAGTTTTTCTCAACATTTTTACTCAATTGCCAGCAAAAAGGAGCAGACTGTAGCATTTCACCTCACATGTGAGCACAGACTTGTCCTAGAACACTACAGCCTACAGGAATGTTACTCAGATTTGAAGAGTGCATATCGCTAAAATATTTAAGTATTCTTTTTACAAATGATACATGGAGTGGATGATCACAATTGCTCCTTCTACAAAATCTACAATATCCTGCTGTACTTACGGGCAGCCGCCATCTTCTACCAGCAGATGTAATACACGTAAAGTATAGGTCTGGTATCTATTGGTGACACTGCTCAGTACCTACACACAATGACCAAGTTGCTGTAAAAGGTTTTGCCAATGTACCAACACTGTTCTCTTTAGCCATTTAATTGTGATCTTGCAATTGACATTGTCATCAGAGTCATTGGTTGATGACCTATTTCAGCATCTCTTAAAAAAAGTGAACTATAATCTAGCATTTCTCATACTTTATAGGATACATAAAACCTAAAAGTATTTACAATAAATGTGATAACTCTATTGGTCATCAGCTGGTAGCTGTAGGAAACACAAAACACAACTGTTATCCAAAATTTGGGCTCCTTTCGGTTTTTAACATGGTAATAAATTAATTATAGATATTTCTTTGATGCAATCCTGTTTATTTAGAAAGATCAGTACAAAGTCCTGCACCCTTGAACACAGGAGCAATCAAACTGGCCTTTGCTCATGTTGTCCAGCTTCTTTCAGACCACACTTAACCCAAATGCTCTGTTAACCTTTATGTCTCTCTGTCCCTATAACTGTATAACAGGGATAACTCTACTTATCTAGATATCTCATAAAAGAATTAATTTCTCTTTTCACTGTACCTAATAGATGTGTTTCCTACACATAACATATTCTTCTTCATAAAGTGCTAAGTCCCATCTTATGTAGTTTATAGTTACTAAATTGTCTTGTACCTTTTAAAACACTTACAACACATCAACAGAGTGGATTCATATTCCATAAAATCTGTGTACAGGAAGCTTCTTGTTGTTACTAATACCTTCTTTTAAATACATGACATCCATACATCTCCAATAATTTACCTTATTGTCTTATATTCTCATAATTTTGAAACTTTAAATTATGAATGGATGAAGATCATCTTGCTTTTTTGCAAGATATTCTGAGGTAAACATAGTGGCTTACTTTTGGTAAAGTCATCTTTGGTGTGCAGTTTTCTGATGAAAGCAGTTTCTGAGAGGTTCATTTCTGATGCAATTTTTTGGTGCATGTCTTCATCTAAGTCCTAAAATTGAAACAATAGAAAAAATGAAGTGGAAGCCAGCAAATACAGTTTCCAACTTCAGGTAAAATAACTAAGCTATCATTTTCCATTATGATAAAGATAAAATGATGTGTCTATTTCTAAACATGAGTTTTTCTGTATGTGCTGCATGCTTTTTTGATAAACAGAGATAAATACTTGCATTATTATGATATGTAGGCAACTAGAAATAACTGTCTCATTATTTTACGAATTAGAAAGAAAATGATTTCACTCAAAAATTTCTCATTACCACCTGAAACTCAGCTTTACTGAAGAATGCAAGCCTTCCTGAAGTTTGGGTAAATAAGTCTTTTAGAAGTTCCACTTCTGACACTAACTTCTAGTAACACCAACTCCCTGTAACATTACAAAGCCCACCCCCCCACCTCTTCCGTACCACTTATGATTCTCTAGTAATGGCTAAGTTCAGTACCTATCTCTGCCGAGTCCTCTGTGCCATTCTATTCAAATATAGTGCACACTCGGGTGTAGGGTACTTCACCGTGGAGGAAACCCCAAGAATGGAAGAGAACTGAAAACAATGTCATGTGGTGCCAATAAGAGGCTCCCAGATGTGCTGGATCTTAACACTGGGGACCCAGGCCAGTGAAGATTATACATAGGTTATAGGAGTTAAAAAGGTAGCTTAAAACCTGTTTTTTTCCACCCACATCTCTCTCCACAGTCTTATGCTAATCAAAGCATGGCCAAACTAAAGACTTGCCCTTTGAGGTACTGAAACATAACTGAACCAACTACGACTTCTGAAGGATTAAAGTTTTTCCATTATCTCTAAGTATTTAGAGTCACTTTAAATCTAACGTGGCCACTAAACCCACATGAGAGAAATCAGACAATTATTGTTTGATACAAAAGATCTTTACATACTACAGCATGGTAACTTTTTATAGTAGCCAAATCTCCTGCTTACTACACAGGTCCAATTCTGAGCCTAACCCTTCTAAATAGGATGAACAAAAATGAGTCATCCAAGACTTTATAGAAGGTACAGGCAGTATGTCAAAATGCTTCCATCTTGTGGCAGTTTTGAAATGTAGCAAGTTTTTTATAACAAGCAATTTTCTGCAGAAGACATCAACAGTTTTTTGAATATACGGCTGGTGGCAGCACTGGGAAAAAAAAGGTTGCTAGTTCTTAGGATTATCTCTTGAGTCTCATATCTTCAGTATTTGTTTTAAAGACACATCGCTTAGAGTCACATTATTACATGAGATTCTGAGCTCCCATTTTTCAAAAGAAGTTTCTAGTTCTCCAGAAGTGGTCGGCATCCCAGAAAGCCCTACGTCATGAAGTGTGTTGTGCCTGGACAGTTGAAATTAATCAAGCCCTTGACTGAGGAAGGGGTCTGAGTTTTCTTTTAGAAGTTGGGGGGCTGATACATGGAATTCTGTCAATACTATTGAAGCTATGTCAGTAGAGATGGAGAATGTCTATTTGAGTTTTGAATTCACTGACAAAAATCATTAACAGAGTTAAGGTTGCCTAGTGGGATCTCAGCTATATTCATAGTGTCAGATGGAGCTGTATTACATAGTGGAGGGATTACCTAGAGCAGCAGGGTAAAACGTGATTACAAAGGGATATGTCTTTTACAACTTGAAGCTGGAGTGCTTGCACCTAGATAACTCCCACTAGCTACTGCCAGTTACAGGCGTAGATTAACACTGTGCCTGTGCATATCTTAACACTGTACTTCCTAGTTTTCAGAAGTCTGACTTTTGCCAAACCCAACTTTCTGGAAGGGCACAGGTTACCCTCAGGCAACTTTAACTCTATTTGAGCAGGTGGTTTGTCACTAAATTTCCTGTTTTAATGGAAAATGGAACACTGTAAAAGCAAGCAATCATTTTTGCAGCTATAGCTGCCATGTTGGTTTGCAGCTGAGTTACTGCGCTGGCTAGAAAAAAAGGATGTTCTTTAATACTTAAGTTCTCCTGCTCCTTCCTGCCCGCTTTGTTAGAGAGGAAAGGAAATTAAGGCCACACATAGGAATTTCTAGCTGCTAGCAAAGCTAGTCAGAATATTCACAGGCATGGTTCAGGGTCCTAAAATCCTGATAGTTTTATTACACAGTGGCTGGATAATTTTAAGCACCTGAGAGAAGACTGGTATGTCTTACTCCATCATTCCACTCTCACCTGCCCCCACCATTTCTAACTAACCCCTTCCTTTCCATCTCATTATGCCTTTAGCATTTACAAGCTAGGATCATACACTGCCTTAGTCACCCAGCTGGAGCTATGAAATGAACCAGTTTCCTGGTTTTTAGATATTTAATTTTTATTACCCCTCCCCATTCTAGCTCACATGGGAGCAACAAGAATGAGTAAGATCTTTCCCCAGGTGGAAAAATCTCCCCAGATTTCAGCACATGCACACGATAGGAAGAAGTAGAGCTGAGAGATCCTTGGCAACAATGTCCCCCACTCCCAGCTGCCCATGCTCATATTGCTACCCACTGTCCTACCAGTTTCTCCCTCTTCTGGTTCCCCCTGATCCAAGCCCCTCAAAATCCTGTGCTCCACCCCATCCTCATTCATCTCACTCCCCATAATCCTTCCTCTCCTCCCCAAAAATCTTTGTATATACAACTTATTTTTCTTTTGCAGATGGTTTAAGCATTTGCTGAATTTCCTGATGTACTGAATTACATTTTTCTAAAATAAAAACCACCTTTTTTGAAAGATCATTTTTCTTCCTTTTCCCCTCCCCAAGTTTTCACAAGGGACAATTCAAGCTCACGGTAGCTAGCTAGAAAACCTCTAAAAGATCTGTCCGCAACTGCACAGCATAAGCATCTGACATGCATTAGCCTCATGCCAATACACTTGGGTGAATACTATGTAGTCACTACTGCTTTCCTGAAGGAGTGGCAAGCGCCATGCTTAGATATGGGTAAATGTTGAGTAAGTGAGACTAGAGCCATGGCTTTATTCCCTAGATTTTTGCAAAATCTAGAGGAGTTTTGGAGGGGAGCAGGGAAGACTTCAGTATTATCATCTCTATAATTCCCAAACGTGGATCACTATCTCTCCCTGGAACCACCTGCAACACACCAATTTCCAAGGCAACTCAACAGGGTCTGTGGATTTCAGGGAGCTTAAAATTGAGCTTTAACCAAATTTGAATGGCAGAGCTTGTACACTTCAGAAAACATAAGAGTTCCCACAAGCACCTCTATGGATATTCTCCTTCCTAATCCAGTGAGACTCCCTCTGGCAAGAAGGTAGTGAATTCGCTACTCCTGGCTGCTAGTGAGACTGATAACAGAATACCAGTTAGGAACAACTGTTCAGAATATTATGATTTGTATGGCTGGCTGCACTGGGAACTGAACCAAAACTACCAGGGCAATCAAGGGGTAAAAATGTTTATTGCTTATAAACTTGGCCTAACTGGGAACCAGCCACATACAGAACAGGATGTGGAAGGTCCTGAGATACCTATTCTTCCTCCTCTTCACTTTTGAGAAAAGAAGCCTGTATCTTTGAGTTTTGGAAAAACCACAGGAATTTGCAGTCATTGTTCCTCAGGTCACTCTGGCTCCCCAGCTTCCTTTCAGCAAGCATTCAGGGACCATCCTACTACTGTGTGCTTTAGCAAATTACTGTTCCTGCTTTCTTGCTCTTATTTACTTTTTCTCAACCCATTTTGACCCAAGGTGCCCTGGTTAGAACCGAGGCCCCCTCAAAAAAATGCCACCTCTTGCTTTTCACTTTTTTTTCCACAACAAAAAAAACAACAATTCTTGTCTTGCAGATACTGGAAGCCCCCGGCAGGGCTTCGTGGGTTTGACACTGTGGTCCCTATTTGAAATCCCCGGGGTCATGCTTGGCACCTCACAGAGGGGCAACGGCGCAGGGGGCCTCCCCAGGAAGCTGCGGACCCACGGCGAAGCAGCGCCCGTCGAGGTGCCTTGGCCGGTCCTGAGGGGAGCAGGAAGCCGGCGACAGCACTTACACCGTGGAGCAGGCAGACCGCGGCCGGGTTCCCACCGAACGGCTCCGCCGTGAAAGCATCGACAGTGAACACCGCCACCCGCATGGCGTCCGCAACTGCCCAGGAGCGCGAGGCCTCCCACCCTCCTCCCCGCCCGGGGTTAATTATTCTCCGCACGGCAACAGAGACCAGCGCCCACCCCACGCCAGGTCGCGCAGACGCATACAGTTGAGCCAACGGCTGAAACCTCCCAGGGCCACGAAGGGCAGGGTTAGCATGCGTGGGGCGGGGATAGGGGGCAGAAACCCTGGTAACGACCATCGCGACAGCCGCGCCCACTGAGACTGACAGCAGTAGGGCGGCCAATGGCGAGCTACGCACATGCGCCCTCACTGCTGTGTTCCAACTGCGCATGCGCCCAGGCTCCGACTCTTTCCGTCACCCATGTGCCTCACCCCCCCCCCCCCCCCCAC